AAATGTATTGGGTAGTCACTAATTTTGGCCAAAATCTAGGTTGTAATATTTTTTAATAAATAACATTTATTTTTAAGAACTAAAGGCACTTTACTTAAAAAAAAAAAAAATTTTCTTGAACACTAATCTTAAGTGTTTAAAAAAAATTATTTTATTCTTATATCAACTTTAGTTTCTAATGCTTACTGATTTCTTATTAGAAAAACGTATGCCGTACAATTTTTGTACTTTGTGGCTACTTGTGATTAAATGTATTGACATTTTCCTTGTTAAATATGCTGCTTATTTTTATAAATTCTTTAAATCTGTCAAACACGTTGCAGTTTTTTCATATTTCTATAAAGAACTAAAAAGAAAAATTTGCTTAGTGATATTTTCAAAAGACTAATTAATTGTTAAAAAAAACATAGTACAATTACTTGGGAATTTATTTTGTCTAGTCTAAAATAATTGATTTAAAAAATACGTTATAAGTTGAAGGTATGATATATTGAAATGGTCTTAATAATTTGCAGTTTTAATTAAGTATATTGGGGAAGCTAAAGTTACAAAATAGTGGTTTTAGAAGTAAAACTCAATACGAAGTAACTATTTCAAATTACTTTGAAGAGAACGAATAAAATAAACTTCTGAATTGTATAATGTATTGTAAAAAATTTAGTGTTTAAAATTGTCGACTTTGTTATAAGTTGGCAAAGTTTTTAAGGAATAAAAATAAACCTTTATTATAATTTTCTTAAATGATTCTATTTGTTATAGAAATTTCGAGTACTGGCGCTATATTAAGCTATTATAATTATTTTACACGCAATTTAAGAAGGAAAGTGTAACAAAAAATGATGAAAATCATTTAGTTCTGTGAACGTTAATTCCTTTTTAAAACCTTATTGTTTAAATTAAATCTGATTTTATGAATAGGTTTTTAAAGCAGGTGAAAATAACTAAATTCTTGTTGCATCGTTCTATTGTTAGCGTAATGCATATAAAACCCCCGATATCTTTCAAAAGTAATTCTTTTATAAATATTTTATTTGATAGATTTTTTTTCTTTCTTTTTTTCTCTCGTATTTAATTCAGGTTTTTGTGTGTGGAAAGCTTGGCGCTTTTATGAGCCTCGCCAAATAGCCTGTTGCGGATGCAGGTCTAAACGATAGGGAAAGTTGTGTGTGTTGATGTTTTTCTTTTTTTTCTTTCTCTTTCTTTCTTTCCTTTTTGCCGGATATTCTTTTCGATGAAAAGCAACAGTGAGTAAGGCAGGGGAAGGGTAATTTATTAGGTCGCTTCTTTAGGTCAGTAGCTTTGTTTAGAAATTTCGTGTGGGAAAGATAGCTTTGCTTATGACAATGAATTATATTTGGAGGCGTATAAATTAGCGATTCTTTTATTAAGCTTAATTTTTTAAAGTTTAGGAAAAGATAAATAACGTTCTTTTTTTTTATTTCTTTTTTTTTTTTCTGTTATGGAAATTTTTTATTGGTGATGTGTTTTATTCGATCGAACAATTAAAGTTAATTTTTTGTTCAATCCCATTTATTCCTATTTTTTCTCCCGCTTTAATGTATTATCATACCAAAGATGAATTGTAAACCTCTTACACTGATGCAGTATGAGTGGATTCATGTAAATTTGCTTGCTTCTTTACTATTACTAAAGAATAATAGATTTTTGTCGTCTATCTCATTTATTCTTATTTTGATCTCGATTAGCATTTGGTTCTCCTGATGTGTTTTATTTGTGCATGCAACATAGTTGGAAAACTTTGACTTTCGCAACATGAATAAATTCGGGCTCTTTTATTGGTTCTTTTGTTTTTGTGTTGCGAAAGAACAATGGTATATTAATAATATTATTTTAATTTATTTTTAGTAGAATAACTATTAATATTTTAATTTATTTTTAGTAGAAAATGAACTCTCTTAAAAGTTAATATTTTATTTATTCAAAACCAGCTATCTCATATATGCTTCGCCGTTTTATTTATTTTTCTTTTCTTTTTATATCCGTCGTTGAACAGCCGACTCAATTTTTCGGTTTAAGACTACTAATGTTCAACTCCGTAGCCTTGTAATTTTGAACCAACCCAGAAGACAAGGAAATTCCATGATCAATACCCCCAGAGGCATTGATTTGTTATGGGAATATAGAGGACTTTGCGACTCATCAGATTTAACGTGCATCAGGCACCTTTTACTATATTAGTTTTCGGCCTACTGGGATCGAACTCTTGGACATGGGCCCAGTGCCCTACCAACCGGGCTATCCCAGCCTCATGCTTCGTTATTTGTCCGAAATGTTTGTTGAACTTGATTATTTCTCGCGTGAGCTAATGTATTTGATTGTATTCAGCAATGCATTTAAAATTCAGCATGCACTAACGGCAATATTGTAGGCAAAGTTGGTTTGATTTTCCCCAATCCATATGAAAACCGGGATAAAGAAAAAGTGTTTTGTTTTGATCAAGTAAAATTAAACTAACCCTTGCTGTTTTTTTTTAAAAAATAGTTATTTAAAATTTAATTGCTATTTTTCTTAATTGTTATTCAGCATTGAAATTTTTTTTTTTTACTTTAATGTTTGAGAGAATAAAAACTTTATAAGCCAATTGCTGAAAATGACTATCCTTTTTTCATAAATAGATGGCGTTAAGGTATCGTATCATGAACGTCTGTGTAAACAATCAATTTTAAATGCTATTAAGTTAGTCGCACAAATTTCTCTACGATTTTTAAAAGACTTGAAATGCAAAATATGAATTACATGGATCTATTACACTCAGTAAGAGAAATTTTTTAACAAGAATTTATGTTCTGCCTCAAAAAGATAAGGAACGCGTGGTTGAGAGTAATAAGACATTCTTTATTAATTGATTATTAAAGATTTAACAGTACATTTCATTATATTTGAATCTTTCATTTTCTATTAATACAATGTTGATAACATATTTATTACTACAAAAATTATAAAACATTGTATTTCTTTAATTTATTATTTCTCTTAATTTAGTTAAAATATATTTTTTAAAATTTCATAACTTTTTTGAATGTTTTTTTAATTTTAATAATTAATATTTAAATTTCATTTTTATCTTATTAATTTTCATGCTACATAGGAAAAAATATTTAAAGCCCATAAAACCTGGGGGGGAAAAAACCCTGCTTAAACCTACTGGATTGGGTTTTATTTTAACTCTGATTGTAAGTGCGAAATAATGATAAATGTTTTAATTTTCTCTATTCATCATCAAAATACTTGCAGATTTTCCACATATACGGAGTTAAGGTGAGATGATAATCATAATAAATATTTCGGATATCCGCCAAAAGTGAACATTAATTAATTATTCGTTATTCATATTATTAGTTATTGTGAATATCAATTATTATTTATATATTGTTTTTTCACTCATTGTTAATTTTCTTTCGTTTTTGAAATAGTTCGTGTTAATAAATTTCAATTTCATTTAAAATCTCATGAATGAAAATAAGTCATTATTGAGCACGATATTTTCGGGCGGTATTCATTTTTCATATTTTATCCTCAAAGTAAATTAAAATAAGATTTTAAAAATTAAAATCTATCTTTGTGTCGATAAGTTTTTGATAATTTATTTGCTAATTTTCATTTATTAAAATTTAAAAAAAATAGTTTAAGCCTTTTCAGGATTAATTGTTATATGTTTGTGTGTCGCACAGTTAATCTTTTTATTTAAAAACAAATGAGTGAAGGAGTTAATAGATTTATAAGTCTACTAACATGTCTTAAACAGATTAATCCTCCTCTTTAAGTGGGTATTATGAATTTTTCGGTGACATAACATATTGCCATGCTAGAATATCTAGTCTTAATACTTAAAATAGTATACTTAAGATATCGTTTGTAGATAAAATATTTTATGACATTTGTTTACAACTTTAGATGGTTCTCTGATAAAAATCTTGGCGTTCTTCTTTTTTTTTAATGATAAAATATATCAGATCGCAAGAAAGGAAAGTCACTGTTAAAAAATGCCATTAAAATTTATGGTACTGGATTGATTGTTTCAGTGTATCTGTTCAAATTATTTATATTTACTAACTTGTATTCTTTTCTGTGGAATACTATTTTTTTTTTTAGTTTTGCTAAAGAATTTGGTAGTAAACTTAATAGAAGAACGAGTTCTACAAAGCACTTTCTTAAACGTAATTATCTTAAAAGAAATCATGCGATCATACATTAATAAGTTAAATTATTAACATTTAATTAAAAATTTTAACACTTCTCAGTTGCACCAAAATTAAATTGCTCAACTAGTTTTCCTTTTTTTTCAATTTTACAACATCTAGTTTAAAACTGTGTACTTAAATATATATCAATCTCATAACTATTCTACTTGGAAATTGGTTAAACAACATATTGAATCATACTTATTTATCAGCATTGTTAGCTTTTTAAAAAGCATATTTTGTTTTCGAATGTATTTTTTTTAAAAGTTGGTTAATTTCATTTTAACCGTTCCATCTAAACTAGGTAGAATAACTGATTTTTCTTGCGGCATTTGTGATATAATAATTGCAAGTCGGCTTTTGTTTTTATTTAAATTTATTTTTTATTTACTGCGTTTTTATTTCTCATAGTCTTTAAAAACATTTCTGTTCCTTGCATAAAATATATGCTGCCTTTCTAAAACTAGTTATTAGTTATCAAAAAATTTCACGGTTTGCCTGCTTTTTTTAATCTTCAAAATCTAATGGCAACAATTATCGTGACAATTCAAATGCGATTATAATAAATCTTTTGATAATCATTAATGTGATTAAACACAACACTTCGTTCTCCTTACTGATTGCATTCTGTTTGAACATAAAACCAAATTTTTATTGTTTGTATAATAAGATTGTGGTAAACATCAGGTTTGTTTACGTTCCGATTTATATGTTGTGACTGTGAATAGAAAGCAATAAATCGCCAAATAAGTTTCCCTTCTTCACTCTCCGGTAAAGTTTTGGAGATGCTGTAGGATTTTGCGAAGTTCTCGCAGTGGGCCTTGGAAAAGTGCCACCTGTTCTCTTGACTGCGATATCTAAGGCCGATGTAGGCCACTCGTGCTTTCGTGCCCTTTATCGGGCCCCCCCCTCAATTTTATTAGTATTTTGTTGTTCGATTTTCTCACCGTTTCCCACCATACCCTACAGAAGCTTTGTGAACTACTTTTTTCCTTATGTAATTTTTTTTGTCACAAACCTTACCAGGATACTTGGCATCGTGGGATATAGGACTTTTTGTGTTTAGTTTTTTAGCATCATTTCATTCCGATTTTCACTTTCGACCCTAACCTTGTGGCTTGCATATCAATCTGTGTTGTGCTCTGTGTAGTTTTGTTTCATGAAAAAATGTGTGGATTATTTCCCCAGTCAACATGGACTTATCTACCGTGGTATGTTATCATTACTACCAATTAAATATTATTATTTTTTTATGTAAAATTTGAATTTTGTATTAATTAGTACTAACAAATCAGGTAATGTTTCCCCCTGTTCAACATGGACCTATCAATTATGATATGTTATCGTTGCTTTGCTGTCAAATTTTTCTTTTCTTTTGTTTATAAAATTTTGATTTTGATTTGCATTAAGTGAATCGGACTTATGCGGAAAAATAGTTCAATTGACAAAAAGAATTCGAATTTTATATTAATTAGTACTGAGCAAATCAGGTAATGTTTCCCCCTGTTCAACATGGACCTATCAAATGTAGTATGTTAATCGTTGCTTTGCTGCCAATTTTTTTTTTTTTTTTTTTTGAAATTTTAATTTTGATTTGCATTAAGCGAATCAGGTTTATGCGAAAAAATAGTTAAAATGACAAAAAGACGATATTAAGTGCTTTTATATGCAATTGATATTTAAAAAGAACGTATTTATTACATATAAATTTATTGTTTAGTGAATCAAACAATTAAAAAATTATTTTTCGTTAATTTATCAAGATAAGCAAGATTTGTCTGAAATATCTAGTTGTTTTTTGTTAATTTATCAAGATAAGTAAGATTAGTATTAAATATATATAATTACAAATCAGATCCGAAATCATGAAAGTAATGCTTGATGATTAATCATTTATTCCATTGGTGTTAACAATGACGTATTTCCAGCTCCAGAATTCTCATAATTTCTAATTCCTGCCAATCAATACGTCTTATGCGGCTTTTTCCCGATTCCTTGAGATAAGGGATCCTGATATCCCGCGGCAGGATCGCTTCCAAAGAAAACCTGGGGCGTTCAAAGATCGAAGAATGCAGAAAATATTTAGTAAAAAAAAAAAAAAAAAAAAAACAAAAATGAAAAACTGNAAAAAAAAAAAAAAAAAAAAAAAAAAAAAAAAAAAGAAGAAACTTAAGTATATTTCGCGTCTTGACCTTGTAGTACTGCTGCATCGTCGATTGTATTATTTTCATAACTGACTTGCATAAATTTGATCTAATGCTAATTATTTTATAATTTAATTACTTTGGTCGAAAATGCTAGTTTGTGTTTCCTTATAACTTAGTATAAATCCGTTAATAACAAAAAAAGATAATTTTTTTTAATTTAAAAATAAAATGAGAAGCGAAAATAAAAAGCTTCAATGCTCTTTTTATTTATCATACGTTGGTCACATAAAAAACAAACTTAAAAATTCCTCACTCAGCAGAAACTGATTTAAAATTAAAAGATTAAGTTGAAATTTTGATATTTGTATGTTTACAATACTTTAAAAAAAATTATGAATCGAATTACATACCTGCTAACTTTCACTCTTTCTGAGAATGAATTTTCCAAGTGGTAGTAAAACAATTACCGAAAAACAACCTTACTCAAAAATATATTTATATTTTGACTAGGTTAAAATTCGCTGTCGTTAAAATTAGTACGCTTTTATATATTTGTTGTAATTATTTAAACGTAGTGGTGGTCAAACTCATTTATAATTATTATTATAATTCAAAAATTTTAATGACATGACATGAGTTTCGGTATCACTTTAAATACAAAATTAAAATCTTCCGGAAAAACCGGAAGAGTTGGCAGGTATGGAATTATCTTTAAAAAAGTAGAAATCCATACATCACTTAGAAAAAATTCACCATATTACAAGTTGCGATTTGATCAATTATTATTGCTAAACATATTTATATATTGCATTAGTACTTGCTTATTTCTCATTAAACTGACTGTTAAGCTTTTGATTTTTTTATAACTACTTAAAATATTTTTTATTTTTAATAGCTCTAGTTAATTTGTTTTTAGTCTTGAAAATTGAATAGAATTTTAAGTCCCCCTCAATAACAGATGTAGTGCAAGTTAGTTGACGAGTTGTTTTTTCTGTCCTCCTTATTTCTTTTCTTTTTATTTTTAAATTTGGAAATTATTTATTAAAGAAAATATTTACAGTAAAGGAGCATCAGGGCTGTTTAGAATGCTAATTAAGTTATTTATTTAAATTTTTAGCTTTCCTCTCCCATTTCAAAATGTGTCTTAAGTTATTATGCTAGGGGGCAACTTCTATCTATTGTCAACGTATTTCAGAGTATCTATGTCTACAAACTTTTTTGTTCTTTACCATTTTAAAAATATTTTTATGAAAGAGAATCAATGAAAACACAGCTACTCTTCCAACCTATAACGCCTAAATTTATTATTTATGGACTTAAAATCAGTATTCTTTTTTATAGATTTACATTTCTTTTGTTAAGCATAATTTAAATATTTTTTTAAGATATTCTCAGTGGGAACAATGTGTAAAATAAAAATTTATATGGTTGTTAGACAAGAAATAACTCTTTCCACTGTTAATGCTGTCTATCAAAGGCATATTAATGAATATTAATTATTGTGCAAAATTCGACACTATCGCCGATTTTTTTTTTTTTTTTTTTCACTAAACCAACATTTCCTACTTGNTTTTTTTTTTTTTTTTTGCACTAAATATTAGAATTTTTTTAAGCACATTTTGGATTTTTTTTAAAAAAATATTTATGCTAACTTAGTGCAAAAGTTTTTAAAAACGTTATTTTTTTTGTAAAAAAATTGTTTTAGTTTAAAAAAGACTACCTTGAATATTTGTAAATAAAAATATGTTTGTGTTCAAAATTTTGGTAACATATACTTTTTAAGTTGAAACGGTCGCTAAAATCTAAAAGTATTCCTACCCTTAAGTTTTTGTTGTTGCACCATGAGCCTTTTATTGTTTAATCTGGACTGCGCAAAGATTTGACAGCTTGTTCATCATTTAATGTGGTTTCTGTTGCTTATTGAAAAATAGTTAATTATTAATTTAGTTATTTCTACTAATTTTAACAATCAATAAATAACTGCTCTTAAACTGCATTGCAACTCTCTAAGGATCATTAAAGTATGCAAAGGGACGCATTTTTATTCTAAATTAACTAGCAAAGCATAAAGATCGTAATGCAAAACTTAAAAATCAATTTTATTTATCCTTGCTGGAAAAAAAAGAGACATAAAATTTTGTTTGTTTGTTTACTCATATCATTCTGTGAATAATAAATATCTTAAGGGAGGGTTTGAGACAACTGCGAAGAATTGAAAATAAAAATGCGTTATTAAGGTATGAAATTTTCTCTGTCTAGCATATTTTAAAACTGAATTGAAATATATATAATTGAATAGCTAAAGTTAAGAATTATTCATTTACTTAATCATAAGTGCAACTTTCCCCTGTTATATTTTTTATGTAACATTTCAGTTTTGTTACTGTAATTACTTATGATATTGTAGTTTATGGCAGAAAAAGGAAAATCTAAAAGCATTCATCAATGCTTGTTCTGTATTCTCTTGTTCTCTGCTTTTTCATATCTATATTTTTATAAATGCTTTACCTTATGAAAATAATTATTTGAAATGTTAATATTTTATGCATATTATTTTTTCATTATTTTTTTTTAAATAAAATATAATTTTTTTGTAAATAGGTTTTATAATTGTTCGTACAATGCGTTAATTTATTTGTATAAATACTATAAATCGCACCTTATTATTAATTCTTAAATTATTTTTATTTTTACTCATTTAGCCATTAAAGGAAAATAAATCATACTTTTGATGTATTAAAAAAGAATTTTCAGTTCTGCATAATTGTGGGTTAATTTAGAAATATTCACAATAAATGACGTTTATTAAAGAAACTTCTAATTATCATTATGTGTTTTTTTTTTTTTTTCTTTTGTGAAATTTAATGAAATTGTGAAATTAAGTTTGTAAATTTAGTTGTAATTTGCTATTTTGTACAAAATTGAATTTAAATACAATAAATGGCACCTTATTATTCTTTTTTAAATTATTAATTTTGTTTTTACTCATTTAGATTGAAAGGAAAAGAAATNTTTATATTATTACTAATTTTGTTTTTACTCATTTAGATTGAAAGGAAAAGAAATCAATCTAAGTTGTATTTAAAAAAAAAAAATTATTTTCTTAGTGACATAATTGTGTGAAAATTCAATTAGAATTATTCACAATAAATGGCATCTAATAAAGAAACTTCTAATTAACTTAGTGTAATTTTTTTTTTTTTTTAGTCTTTTGTAGATTTAATGAAATTCTGAAATTAATTTGTAAAATTAGTTGTAATTTGCATTAAAATTACAACTGAAGAATAAATGCCATTATTCTCAGAATATTAAATGACGAATCTTTTTTAAATCTTCTTATTAAACAATACATTTTTACTACTTTCTGGAAGAGAGAGAATTATGCTTTGCTTTAACAAAGGTATGAGGTGAACATTTTCCTTGTGGACTAGGTTATTATTTAGATTTATAAATATATATATTACGATATAAAAAAATAAGCTTCAAAAATCCATTTTTAAAGCCAATCTTGGAAAATAAAGAATTACTTTAAAAAAATGTATTTTTTAACTGAAATTTACAATTCTATTAAAATTAAGGGCAAATAACTATTCGATTCACAATCTCAAAGAGAGAAAAAAAAAATTTTTTTTTTCTCTATAGATTGCAGGGGTCTGTCCAGGCCAAATTTACTACCGTTTAAGGGTACCTTCACAAATTCAACTTTAGGAATTTCGCAAAATACTTTTTCTTAAATTTAAAATTTTTTATCTTGTAAGAAACGATATATCCATATTTTTGTGTTGATTTTTTAATATAATTTTTTATTTTCACAGATAATGTCTAAATTTTCACAAAATAGGTACCTCTCAGAAAAACCTAGACAGACCCCTGGATTGCCATCTTTTTGCAATAAAAATTGAAACTCTAGTAAAAAAAACTTTTCTATATATATTTAGATATAAAAAAATAAGCTTCAAAAATCCATTTTTAAAGCCAATCTTGGAAAATAAAGAATTACTTTAAAAAAATGTATTTTTTAACTGAAATTTACAATTCTATTAAAATTTAGGGCATATACTGTTCCATTCACAATCTTAAAGGGGAAAAAAAGGTTTTTCTATAGATTGCCATCTTTTTGCAATAAAAATTGAAACTCTAGTAAAAAAAACTTTCCTTCTATATAAACATGACATTTTGTTTTATATTATTGATTTTTTCCCTTCTAAAAAATTTATAATTCTATTAAAATAGAAGGCAAATACTATTCAATTTCAGAAAAAAAGTTTCCTGTAAATTGCCATCTTTTTTAAATAAAAATTGAAACTAGTTAAGCAAATTTTCCCTTCTAAAAATTCTTCACAATGTGAAAATAATAAGCATTGCGTTTGCTTTTGCACAATGGCATAAATACATCAGACATTGAATTGGAAAAATTACAAAAAATTTGTTTAAAGTTATGGCCTTATTTATTATAAATTCTTATGTTTAAAAAAAAAGGGAATACTTGTTGATAGGTTGAAATACAATTTAAAAATCATAATTTGATGGAAAAATTTCATGATTTACTTATTCAGAATATAATTAAAAACATTAAATTATGTAAGTTTTTAAATATTTTAAACAAAGGTTTTCTTTCTTTTGACAAGCTGTTACCTATTTTATAATTGGTAAAAATAATTTGAAAATTAGGAAACGTTTTAATTTTATTTATTTTCTTTTTCTTATTTTACTAATTATCATTCTGAAGAGAGGCTGCAGTTTTTACAATTTAAAATTTTTCTGTAAGAATTAACATTACCAAATAGTTCACTTAAATAACCCCAGATAGTTAACTTAAATATCACTAAAATGATTCTAACTAAAACTCATGCAAGGAAAGCTAGTTTTTACCTCTGAGTTTTTTTAAATTAACTAAACCTGTTTTCCATTCTGGTTTCAAAACTAATAATAAACTCAATAATTGATAGTCTGTCATTTTTATAATTTAAGTGCATATAACTGTATCCCTGGTTTTATTGGCACAAACTTTTAAGGAGGGGTAGAGGACATCACAAATATTCAGATTTGCTCAGCAACTCATAGTCGAAAATATCATGGAAAAAGAGAAACAGATACAAGAAACAGGACTAAGGTCATCTGAAATATTTATTGGTCGGAGATATTACATATGCTGTGGTAGATGATTTGTGAAAGTTCCACCATTGCTAGCGATGCATGCATTTGACTGTCAAGCAGTAGAGATGATTCTTGCTACCAGATCTGCTTCAAAATCCACATATGTTTTGCACACAGTACTTTCTAGTACACCCCAAAGAAAGAAATCCATGCTGAAACAGGAAAGCCTGGTAGCCAGGGTACCGGTTAACACGCCCAATTTATCTTGTGAACAACACTTAAGACGAACAAAGATATTTCTGACTATGGGTTGCTTAGTAAATCTTAAAGTGTGTCCCAGTAATCCTGGAACACCCTGTATTTATATACACCGAAGAGCCATTACATTATGACCACCCTCCATTTATAACAATGGGCTCGTCCAGGTTTTCATGGTTTCTTGCCGAGGAACAATGTTTTCATAGGTCACATTAGGACTTATAATCCTCATAGAACAATCCCTGACGTCTGTAAGCTACTTGAACATAGTTGCTGTGCAGACCAGGTTCACCCATTCATGGCAACAATTTTTCCTGTGGTGGATGGTGTTAACCAACAGGATAATGCACCATGTCATAAGGGTCGAATCGTCCAGGAATGTTCCAGTGACTTTCAAGTAATGTCTTGGTCCTCAAATTCACCTGATCTTAATCCAATCGAGCATTTGTGGTCCTACTTGGAAAACCAAATTCGTGCTGCCAAGCTACCCCCTCGCAATGTAAGGGAATTGCAGGACCAATTGGTGAGACTACCTATCAGCACCTTGTGGAATCAATGCCACGGCGGGTGCTAGCAGTTTTGAGGGCTAAAGGTGGTCCTACATGTTATTAGCAGGGTGGTCATAATGTAATGGCTCTTCGGTGTATATATATATATATATAAACAGATATATTTGTTTGTTCAGTAATGATAAATTAATCCTAGAAAATACAATGCATAATCAAATGAAATATTGATTGACAGTTAAGTTGCAAACAAACTAGTGCCCGAGTCTTAATTTCATCTTTCCCAATGTTATAATTGCTACGGCTGTCTCATTCTAAATTCCTTTTTATTTTCTCTAGTAGTATATTTTACATTTATTAATTTAAATCTTTTTTAGACAGGAGCTATGTTTTTGTAATTTTCTCTTTTTGTTTCCGTTACAGTATGGTGTAATGGCTGGACACAGCAGTGTGATTGTATCACAGATAAAGTCTGAAGATCCAAGTGATGTCAGTAGTGGTTCTCTGTGTCCAGCTTCACCTCAAATTTTTTCTTCATCCAATTCAGGTCTTTCAAATGGCCAAACAGACTTCAGTAGAATAATGGGACCTGTTGTTGGTAGCTCTAAATCTCACTGTCAGTCTCCTGATGAAATGGCTTTGGTGAGTAATATTGTATAAAATTATTTTATTATATCTTTTCTGATTAAATATATTCTTCTACTCGTGTGTTGAAATAAGTAACAATTGACATCATTTGATAAAATTATAAAGCTTGTATAATTTAATTTATTTGTTAAAATTAAATATTTTAGTTATGTTGAGCTTTTGCTTTTTTTATGTTTAATTTTTAAATGATTTAATGTATAAAAATTAATAAATAAATAATACAAACGCAATAAAACATTACAATGTATGCAATTTAATTTTCTGTTTTCTAACTCTTTCAAAACCTTTATATGGTTTCACTTTTTCGAAAAACTGCTTAATGTATTATAATAAAATTTGGTGCAAGGTTAGTATGTATTACAAAGTAGACCTAAAATATTATTGATTTTTTTTGTGAAGAAATTTGTTTTCAAACCTTGTTGATTTTGATTGGTGTAAAATTATAAATCTGAATATACCAACCATTTAAACATCTACTTTCATGAGTAATTTTTCTCTCTCCACCATTTGCTCACACTGCTCCAGACACATACACACATCTAACTTCAATACTTTTTGCTGTGTAGGCTAAATCAAGGAGCAACCTGAATAAAGCAATAATGAAAGTACATAAATGGACTAGTTTCAGTTCTATAAACAAGAACCTTCCTCTGTATCTAAAACATCAAATGATGGTAGTAAAGAGGCAAATTTTGTGCATGTTGATCTCCTTACTTTCTCTACCATCTTTTGTTGTTAAAACACTAAGGCATGTTCTTGTTTATAGAATTGAAACTATAGTATGTCCTTTTATGTACAGTGGAACCTGTAAAAGCGACCACCTGGGTAAAGTGAGCACCTGAGTAAGGTGACCATTTTCTACAAGTTTTATTTAAAGAGTCCTTTTTATAGAGTCTTCATAAAGTGACCACCCCTATATAGTGGCCATTTGACTTGGTCCCGAGGGAGGTCAATTTAGACAGGTTCCACTGTACTTTCATTTGTGCTTTATTTACATTGTTTTTTGCATTAGTCTACATATATAACTTCATTATTAGTAGAAATTTGTTCTATTGTAAATTTTTTATATTTAGATAGGTCTTTGTGCTCATTCTATTTTTAATTTGAATAGTCAGAGGATAAACCTTAAAATTAATTTTGAAAAGAGTTTCAATGTTTCCACTTACATAATTTTTTTCCTATAAAATTTACAGGAAATATACTCCGGAATTGCTGATCAGTCCCCCTCATCTCCAGGAAGCCCAGAAAGTCATCATCAGGATATGTTTTGTTCCAGTACAATGTCCGGTGATGGCATAGGTGCAGTTGTTGTATCGAATTCCGAGGGTAAATCTGGTGACTCTCCGAAACGTTTGTGTTTAGTCTGTGGAGATGTTGCTTCTGGATACCACTACGGTGTTGCATCTTGTGAGGCTTGTAAAGCCTTTTTTAAACGAACTATTCAAGGTAATTCCTCTTCGCAAGAATCATTATGTTTTCTTGACAAACCAATGAAGCTGAAATCTTTCAAAGGCAGGTTTTGCATTTTAAGGTATTTAACTGGGTGAAAATCTGCAATTTCAACAAAAATTTAAATTTTCTTTATTTATTATTTTTTTTTAACTGGCATTAAACAGCCGACCAAATACTGAGTTTACAACTATCTTCAAATCTGTAGCCTTATAATATATTGAACTCAACTCTGAAAATCCTGAGTCCTCAAGCATTGGGACAAAATAGCCTTTGTGGAGAACTTTTGATAGAACTATCCCTTAAATTTTACCTTGCATGTCGAGGAAAACTATAGTATTGTTACAATTTAAGTATGATAAAATGAATCATTGAAATTTTAATTAAAGGGATTAATGAACATCATAGGAGGATCTCCAGGTTTTTCTGATCAGTGCTGAATAAACAAACCATTGAGGGCACGCAGTTCAACTTTTAAAAACAGTTTTACTTTATTTTCACACTGCTCATTGATGCCTCCGGAACATGGTGTTGAATCGTTATAAGGGGAACTCTAGGATATATCTCTATTTTAGACGAGGAACTTCTTCTTTTTGAAAGAGACGAAATTCAGTTCGTTGAGCTCAGAAAATCGATACTTGAAAATCATTGCTGTTAAAAGCTCGCCAACCATTGGCGACAGGCATACGTGCCAACATGCAAACCTCATCAGGTGGTCTTTAAATTAATTGAATGTGATTTTTATTCCGAAATTGATTTATGAGATTTTAATGTTAGGAATTCTCCATGTTTATTTCTTGTTAAAGAGGTTAATCGCTGTAATATTAGAGCCGGAAGGCAAGCGGCTAGAAGTTATTAAAAACGAGAGCAACGTTTCTCTCACACCGTGGTTTCCTCAACTGACGTCAAGGGAGCATGCGGAAAAGAGCAAAGCACTTTTCGGATACAGTTAAGGTGGAAAGAATCAATATAAAAAAATCAAATGATGAATTTAAAATTAGAAGGCTATTTTGGTTAAGCGAACGAAAACTGAAAAAACAATTAAGGAGTAGAATATTGACACTTGTATGATGTAGCAAAATCACAGAAAACCTCACACGATTGCCCTGAAGACAAGGGATTTCTAACCCATGGAGGATATTTAACCACTGAGGATATTTAACATCTGCACTGTGCTCCGTGCAAGCTGGGATCAGAATTTGTATTAAACATTCAATGATAGGGTTCAATTAGGGGTCACCTCCTTGGATGGCGAAAGCTCCATCCCCTCTATTTACCTATATTTAAACTTAAGTTCATTAGCTCACCAAAACCCTTTAAATTTTTGATCTCCGATTTTTATAAATGAAGGTTTTGTAGTTTTTCATATGCTGACGGGCTAAACCGAAATTAAACTTCCGAAAACGATTCAAACGAACTAAGGTGTTTCTTGTTATGCATTGAGTATTTTAGCCTTTTTTGTTTGAATAAATTATATTTTTATGACAAATAAAATTCAATTTCATTAATTAATTTTTGAGTTAGATATTTTTTTTTTCTTCAGAATTTTTTACATTTCAGACTTTTCTTCCCTTTTAAATGCATTTTTAAAGAACAATAATTTTCAAAAAATTTCCTTCTGCTTATTTTCACTACAGAAAAAAAGTAATAGAATTAATTGAAATTCTTTATGTAGCTTTTGTATAATCTGTCAGATACCTATAGAAAAAGAAGTTTAGTATATAATGATTTTTTGTTTGGTATTTCATGTTGTAAGAATATGACAACTAAAAAATTGATAGTAAAACTTATTTCACTAGTTTAAAAAAAATCAGGGAAATTTGATAAAAAAAATCTAAAGTAAAATGCTCTTTTTTTTCTGAGTGTTTGTGGTCACCCTGTTATGATACAGTATAAATATAGTTTATTGAAATAACTCATTTTCTAATATTTTTTCCAAAAAAAAAAAAAAAAAATGCTTTTGTAATTTTTAAAAAAAGGTTTATTTTCAATTAAAACAAGCTTAAATGCTTTATATAATGTGCTTTATATACAAAAGTAATACACTACTAAATTGATAATAAAGTGTATGCAACTAGTTTTAAAAAATCTGGAAAATTTGATAAAGTAAAACTGGAAAAAGTTAGGTGCCTTTTTTTTGAGGGGGGGGGGGTGTTTGTGGTCACCCTGTTGTTAGCAATATAAATAAATATAGTTTAGTAAAGTAACTTATTTTCGCATTTAAAACAGATATAATATACATTTACAGAAATATACTTATTTTTATATATGTAACTTGTGTGACAAAGGAATAGTTCAGTGAATTTTAATTTTTATTTCAATATAATAAATGACACACACAAAAATATATATTTTTTCTTAATTGAATCAAACTAGTGACTATAATTTTCATTACTAAATTTAATTGTAAAATTATGTTTGAAAAAGCTACTAAAGTAATCTAAGCACGGAAGAGTTACACTGTATTAGATATATGAACAATGTTTAGCAAATTCAAACTAAGGTTTGACTTTATGCTTTTATTTTCATTTCTGCAATCAAAAAATTTGAATAATTTTAAGGATAAGATGAATTTAATTCTGCAAAATTTTAGATTCAAAAAAGTGTTGTTTGTCTTTTCAGGTAATATTGAATACACATGTCCAGCTTCAAACGATTGTGAAATCAATAAAAGAAGAAGAAAAGCTTGTCAAGCATGTAGATTTCAGAAATGCTTGAAAATGGGCATGCTGAAAGAAGGTGATTTTTTTTCCAGTTGTTCGTTTCTTTTTGTCTTTATTTTCCTGTCGTTACACATTTGTGTCAGGGGTACATCGCTTGTAACCTGAGGCTAAAATAATCTTAACTATTAGATACATTGATGTTTTTTTAAATTTATTTAAACAAATGGTTGAAATTATTCTTAAAAATAACTAAGAGTCTATCTTGTGACAATTTTAATTTTACTTATTGTAATTTTATTAGTTTACTTATCAATTCTTATGATAAATTAATAATTTTTTTGTTTTTTTTTTTTTACTCCAAGGAATAGTTTAGCTATTATTAATTCATATAAATACAGTATGTACTGCTGTAACCTTCCAGAGCTTAAGCTTTTATTCTATTTAGAAAAAAATAGTGTGCAGCTGTTGTATACTCTCAACACCATTATTTTCTTAATAATAAAAAAAACGCTATAACAATTTTTATATCTTAAACTCATTAATTTGCTGTGTGGGGTCAGCATTTGTTTTCACTTATTAATAATAGTACTGTGGCATAAACTTATTTCTGAAAACATGCTTGGAGAACCGAAGATAAAAAGACTGATTTTAATATATTATGTAGTTGTTTTTTTCCAAGTACTAACAAAATTAAAAAAGGTTTTTTGCTTTCTTAAATTGCAACCAAATCGAAGGTAAATGATTTATATTCTACAAATAAATCGTCTGAACACGGATAGTTGGGAGTATAGTATAGATGCTGCTACTATTATGTTTTATTGAGTAATGTTATTATCTGATAGCCAGTTGCGATTTTTTTTAATATCAATGTTGTGAATTATGGTTTGAGTGCTATTGTGATGAGTAATGTACTGAAAATGTATTTAGGTGTAAGACTAGACAGAGTACGTGGTGGTAGGCAGAAGTACAGAAGATGTCAAGAAAGCCCTTACCAAGTTCATGCAATTACATGTAAAAAACCATCATTAGAAGGTATTTAACAATTTCTTTTATGTAATTAATATTGATTACCATTAAAATTGTTTTCATTTGACATTCATATTCTATTAGCTATATTAAATCATAAGTCATAAATTTCAAAAACTATAAAAATTTATGGGAGATTTTTAAAAAAATGCATTTTAAATGTTGCAATTACTAAAATAATTGTTGAATGCAAATGAAGTAATTAATTAGAAATTAAATAAATTTAGCCTTTATCTGAATCTACTGCAGTATGGAACCGATTATCCGGAACGATCGGTACCATCGCTATTCCGGATAACTAATTTTTCCACTTTTCTGAATCACTACAAAAAGCCGTTTTTTTATTGCTAAACACAATTTAAAAAAATATATATATTTGGAAATAATCTTAAAAAGAAGAAAAAACGATGAAGTAATACACTAATGATTATTTCCAAAATGATGGTAAGGTAAACTTTTTTCAAAAACGAAAGCAAAATCTTATGAGGGAAAAAAAATGGCGGGAAAATTTATTGAATTTCATTCCGGTTTTCTGATTTCCGGATAACGGTTTCTATACTGCTTTCCAGTAAACACCTCATTGTCAATTAACTTGTACATTATCTATCGAATGCTTAATATGTGTTCCCTGTAATAAAATTTATATTTCATAAAATAAATCGAAATTTATAAGTACTTGTACTTCCTATCAAAATACAATTCCTTCAAGCTTCTGGTGTATTTTTACATCTCCCAAAAATATATCATGAGAACTATACAATTAAGAGTTGAATCCTTCATTACTCAATAGATAAAGAAAGAGAAGAAATATTGGCATCAATTATGGTGGTTTAGCATTTTGTTTTCTTCCAGTTTTTAAACTGAGTATTTTTACCTGAGCTAGTAAAGAGACTGTGTTTACAATATGATTTAAAAAAATGAATGAAAATTTCTTGTTTTTATGTGTGCAATAATAAACGACTTGCGATAATTCAAGGTTATTTGATCAGAATAAAAAAAGCATTTATATTGTGAGAGGGGCTCATAAATATTATAAAAAAGAAATAACATAAAAATTTTAAATATACAATTAGTTTTACTTATCTTAATGAATTACTATGTTTTATAAATAACTAATAATTGCCTATAAAATATTTTATATTTTGTTAGTTAGCTAAGAAAATTCTATAGTATAAAAATTTAATTGCTGTTGCATCCTTTTATTCAAAAAATTTTCGATTTCAGATAATAAAATTATTTCTGCTCTTCTCAATTGTGAACCAGAGCCTCTTCAAGCACAACCAAATCCTGCTCTTCCAGAATCACATTTTAAAACTGTCAGTACTCTGAGTGATTTAGTCGATCGAGAACTTGTTGCGACGATTGGTTGGGCAAAGCAGATCCCAGGTAAGATAGCTTGGTTCATAATTTTTATAAATACCTTTTTATTTAAAAATGCCCCTTTAAATGTTTATTTTCTCATAATTTTAAGTTTAAAATGTTGTAGAAAAAAGCTTTTAAGTTTTTCATTATTTTATCCCTGATTTTTTTGAAAGAATTTTTACACAGAGATTGTCTTTTAGCTTGTCTTTAATAATTTTTTCAGAAGCTTTAACCTTTTCTGTTATTTTGATAATGAGTGAGATTTATTTTGTGAAATATAGACATAAAATATTATAAAAAGGTCATTTAAAAATTGAGGATCAAATTCATTTAATACATAATATTACATATTTTGATTAATTTTAAGGGTGTTAAGTTAGTGCCCTTTCAAAACTCAAAGTTTTTATTCCTAGGCAGAACTGCTACTCCTCTTGTTGGATAGGCTGCCATCAGCAATTTTATTCTTTCTTTCTTTCTATGTTAAAATGTGTTAGCAGATTTAATGAACATGGATGATATAAATGTATTCTTAATGAAATATCTTTAATAGTACTGTACTGTTTATCAACAGTGTAAAAATTCAAAACAAGCCAGTGATAAATAAAAAGAGAAAATTTTTCTTCACGCCAACCCCAATAGTGGTTGGTATGAAAGGAAGATGCAAACCCAAGAACCGCTCCTGCTGTCTCCCTAAATGTGTTTTTTTTTTTTTTTTCACCTTCCTTTTTACTACTCAGTGACCGCACCAAACGTTAAGGGACTGGTTTATAGTACAGTAGAGAACCGATTATCCGGAACGATCGGGACCATCGCTATTCCGGATAACTGATTTTTTCGGTTTTCTGAATCGCTACAAAAAGCCATTTTTTTATTTTTTTTTATTGTTAAACCCAACTAAAAAAAAAAAATTTTTTTTTGGAAATAATCTTAAAAAGAAGAAAAAAGTAATACACTAATGATTATTTCCAAAATGATGGTAAGGTAAACTTCTTTCAAAAAAGAAAGAAAACTCCTAAAATCTTATGAGGAAAAAAAATAAATTTTTTTTTAGAAAATGGCGGGAAAATTTATCGAATTTTGTTCCGGTTTTTCGGTTTTCTGATTTCCGGATAACGGGTTCTGTACTGTATATCCATGGAAACTAGCCTTCTCCTATCTATATTCTTTGTTCTATGTATCTTATGCTTTAATTGCATCTTGAGTTATAAAATTAAATTTTTAACAATCTCTTTTTATTCTTTAAAATAATGTTGAATAGGAAGTGAATGAGAGAAATATCTATTGTATATTTATAAAAAATTCAGCTTTTGTGTATTAAATAGGCAGGCTTTGTTAAAGACAATTTGCAGGTATCTAGGTCTAAAAAATTTGTTTTAACTCCATGTAGTTGAAAATAAGATCTTATCAGTTTAAAAGGTGATATTTGATTTTATGAAGTTTTAACAATTACATATTATTAATTACCGTTCAAAATTAGTATAACTGTTACAAATTTAGTTTTCTTATGAAATAAATAATGAAACTAACATTAACTTAAGTAACAAAACAATTTTAATAGTTTAAATTTTTTTTTATATCATTAGAGCTTGAGACAAGCTCTCAAAAAACTATGGAGTCGGACATTTCATCTACCTGTTTTGTTCATAATGTACTTGCTGCATCATCTTAGAAGCTTGATAAAACTTTTAAATAATTTTAATATTGTTTTTACATTTCTTTCAACCTCTTTCAATTTCTATTGATTCATTTAAATTTGGATCCATGATTTGATTTATAATATGTTCAAAAATTCTACTAGAACTGAATTTCTTAACTTGCTTTTCAATTTTTTATACAACTCTTATTTTTTTAATTGAACTTAAAACTGTTCAAATTTAAGGTTTTACGGAACTAATGCTGAATGATCAGATGAAGCTCTTACAAACCACATGGGCAGAAATACTGTCATTATCTCTTGCTTACAGGTAAATTTAAACAATTTAATTGGTATATATTTTTTAATATACTCTTAGTTTATATAATTTATTAGTCTAGATTTTAAAATAAAAGTAAATTAGATGGATTTTTTAGTTTATTAGAAACTAAATTATTTAACATTGTTTTTTATTTTCATTTCTAAACAAATATTTACTTTACAATTGCTTTTAATTACTTTGCTATTTTTTGAAAAATCAATTTGACAGATTTAATGAATTATAAGCTATTATTTATTATGGAAATTGAGTAAGTAAAAAGCAGCATGATGCCCATAATTGGATCACAGTATTATAGTTTAAAATAGTCACTGTGTTCACATAAATAAATATTTTGGTATTTTAGAATAGGCCTAAGGTTTCAGGAGAAAAACTTATATTTTAACTAAACATAAATTTATGCAAATATTAATTTTCAAATTTAAAACTGTAAAGTAACAGTAAATATACTATATGAAGTATAACATTTAGGTCTTCTAGAATCTTCATGAAAAATAACTTAATGCTAAATTTATAAAACTTATCCGAAGATTGAGTGGAAAATTAAAAATGGTTCATGATAGTTAGGGTTTTAGTTGACTCAAATGTGTTATTTTTTTGAATTTGAAAGCTGAAACTTTTTCTTTATGTATGCTTTGGAAAAATACTAAACTGTACATTTTTGACCTAAATATTTATCCTTAGTGACAACTTCTTATTGACTTATAATTTCGTAAAAATTGATTTTCCAATGTACTTAGATGATCTTGTTAAAGTTTGAGTTCATATCAAATTCTTTTACTGTAAAAATAGCTCTTTATAAAATATTGTATCTTGTATACAGTTTCTTCAAAATATTATTAAACAGAAGATTTTTTAAAATTCTACCTTTAAAAAACAGAACTGACCAAATCACTAATTTTTGCTTCCTTTGCAATAAATGAGAAAAATGTTTTATAATAATGTTAATTTATTTTATTTATTTTTTTGAAAAGAAAAAATCATTTTTGCTTTAGTACAGTCAAAATTTATTCACAAAATATTATACAGAACCCTTTCCGACCCCCCCCCCAATTAAATACTTATTTTAGAGCCACTAAAATAGAGACTTTTCATAATTTTCTCTCTCTATTTTTTTTTTTTAAAATTTTAATTTATAGGAAGAAAAAAAAAAAAAACTTTTTCTGCACAAACATGTATAATTTTATAAGCAATTTCATGTTGATGTAACTGCACAGTAGCAAATAGCTATTTAATTATAATTTATTTAAATATAATAAATTAATGTTCCATCTTAAATAAAGTCAGATATGGTAACAAGCATTAAAATGGATTTAAAATTGGAAAAGTTTTATTCCAACGATTCCAAAGTCACATGTAACACTGCATGACTATGTTTACTTACATTGTGTAGATAGCACTGCAAAGTGAAAAAAAAACTCTGTTTTTCTCCTTTTTTCTTTATTAAAAAAAATAATAGTAGGTATTATTAACCCTTTTACAATACCAAATGGAAATGATATCATCAAATGGAACAAGTTATTAAAAAAAAGTCTGAAATGAAAAAAATTATTTTAACTTATAGTGGTTAAGTTTCTAGAATGCATCAATATTTATAATAACTACTTATGTCTTAGTTATACTGAAATGCATTAATATTAAAAACTACTCTCAATATTCTGATGATTAAAAATATGCAATGTTTTTAAATATTATTTTCTGTACAATTTGAAAATATTCCAATTTTTAAATGCTGCATGCTGAAATAGAATTTATTCCAATAATTTTATTCTCAATGGAAACTCACTTTTATCATTCCTATGAATTTAGATCCTACCAGTCAGCAAGTTTACCACCAAAGTTGATTTTTACATCAGATTTTACAATGGATGAACAACAAGCATCCGACTGCCAAGCTGTTGAGTTATTTTCTCGATGTATACGACTAGTCAAAAGGTTGGATGTTCTAAATATAGCAAAAGAAGAATATCTAGCATTAAAAGCTCTTCTACTGACAAATGCTGGTGAGAAATTTATATTTTCCATTGTTTTTTTACTTACTCTCTTTTTTATGCATACATTAATCATTATTATACTAATCGCTATCATATTCATCATGAACATAACATTCAAATATCAAGGTCAGGGTTTTGCAAAAGTTGGGTCTAGTTCAAAAATCTATTTTAAATGCATAAATTAATGCATAAAAAAATTACATTTTAGTATTTTTAATCAATTTTCTGTGCAATTGAACCAAATTGATCTTTGAAATTATCAAATTATTGTTTTATAAATTCAACTTTAACTTTTTATAAAACATTATAGAAAGTAAAACAAATTTCAATTACCTGATTTTTCCAATAAAATTTAATTAAAATGAACTAAATGTGTAGAAAATAGAATACATAATAAAAACCAAACTTATTGCTAAATTAGGTTACATTATTATCTTTAAAACAAATCTATAAGTTTAGAGGTAAAGGACACTATGTCAGCACTTTCTGTGATTAGTTTAATGAAATTGAAAAAAATCTGAAATCAGCTCCCCTCAAAAATTACATATTTATGTAATGGTGTCCTTTACATCTGACGTACACAAATAATGTGTAATATGCATATGCATTACATTTATTGCATTTTTTTTATTATTATTATTCTAAACCCTTCAGGGTTTGTTTAAATGCATCAAAAGATATATATTATATGTATCCAATATTTCAAACCAATTTTTTTACTATTTTTCTTATAGGATTACCTGTACATTATCATCTACTGCACTTTTTTCAAAAATAAATAACTAAGTAATAATCTATGTTTAAAGATAAAGTTTAGAATGTTGAAACCATAATTTAACTGAATACCTTAATTTAGAATATCAGTTGAAATCTGAAACATCTCATGTAATTATTCACTGTAGTCTATAAGAATATTTTCTAAATTTTGATTAGTTGTGATAGTGCTGAAAAAAGGACTTGAAAGTTTAAAAAAAGGAGAAAAAAAATTCTCCTTGTATTTATATATTTCAACAAAAAGAAATGAGTTGACTTTCTAATATTTTTAATATAATTAAATTATCATGACACCTAAGATTAAGTTTATATTTTACATTCTTATGAGGTACTGTATAAGAACCTCGTAAAAAGGAAATTATTATTCAATTTCTATAAAGAGTAGCAACATCAATTAATTAAACAACCGGTAGCTTTTTTTCCGTAGATTATTTCTAATATGAATTTTTTTTAAAAAAAAAATAGGATTTGATCCAAGCAAAAAGTGGCCTATCAATAACGATCACTGACTCATTATTTTTGTAGAAAAAGTGGCTAAGTTATGAGTCTACCGACCACTGTCTACTAACTGAAAATTAAAATCGATAGACTCCGGTAGATAATTTTATATAATTTGCCATATGAATCCAGGATCAACAATCGATATGGGTCTCAGGCTCATTATTTTTGAGGAAAAAGTGGCTACTAAGTTTTAAGAGTCCACCAACCACTGTCTACTAACTGAAAATTAGATTTAATTAAAATTTTCAGGCTTGAATGTATCGGTTTCTAAAACTAAGAATTTTTTTCTGAATTTGTGACATTTCTCTTTAACAACGCTTTTCCGTAACATATTTTTGTCAGTAATGTTTTGCTTAAAATACACATTTTTTTTAAAACAGATATTCAGCTTGAAGATCCTTCCTCAGTGTACAAACTTCGTGATACAATTCTCTCTGGACTTCAGGACTGTGTTATAGCTTTCCGTACCACCAGCTCTATGCAGCATTTAAGTCAGTTGATGCTGTGCCTACCTCTTCTGCGGCAGCTCGATGCTGAGGTGCGTCTATTTTGGAGTAAAGTACGGAAAGAAGGGAAAGTCCCTATGAACAAGTTATTTGTTGAGATGCTGGAATCTAATGTCCCCCTGTGGTAGATGATATGATTTTATATAATTTGCCATATGAATCCAGGATCAACAACAAAGAGGTCTGTTGCTCCAAAATGTTATGAAGTAGCAAACAACATGGAATGTGATCAAATCTCATTACAATCAAAGCTTCACAAATTAAATGTTCGGAAGTGGAAGGGATTTCTTTTCATTCTTTAAACCTAAGACTGTAAATTTTGATGACAATATGGCTTTTACAAATTCGAAATTTATTTTGAACTATGAATTTCTTAAATGTTTGCCATGCTTTTTGTGAATATTTAAAATCAAATTTGATTAAAAAAATGAAATAATAAAAAAATAGAACTTTTTCTTTGACTGAGGCTGCATACCTGATAGTATTCTGGTGCTAGATTTGGTTTATGTAATAAGATTTTAATTCAAGTACACAATAAGAATATATAATTGCATTTCATTAAAAAACTTTTTATTAATTTATTATTTTTTTTACATTATATTTCATAAATTAAGCAAAGTACTGAATTTGATTATAAGTTGTGAAAATACTTTTTTTTTATAATGATATTTGTCAGTTGTTGAATAATCTTTTATTGACTTAATAGTTCTTGAATCTATTAATCATAAAAATGTATATATTTAAGAAATAATAAATTAATCAAAATTATTTAAATTACTGTAGTAAAGAAATATTTTTTAAATTGTTATTTATGAATGAATTATATTTATAAATTCGGTTATGTTTTTACTATTTGCTTTGAAACGGCTTATTATGAATGAAATATATCTCTAATATGTCTTATTTGAAAGAATTTTGTGCATGTTTGTTCGTGTCTTAGGTTTTGGCAGCTACCTGTATTAGGTGATTTGTATTAATGTTGTATACCAATTAGATAAGTTTAATTTAATAGTAACCTGCCTAATAATCCATGAATTGTTCTTAAGAATAGTGTTTTATAATAATGCTTCAGTTTTATTAGATTTTATCAGTTTTATCTAGCTGGATTTATTGTATTGACCAAAATCCCTTCCACATCATTGGACTAATGTTATTATTTTGTCCTTGTTATGCGTTAAATGTTTCATCTGTAGTTAAATCCATTTTTTTTTTTGGTTAGATTTATTTTGTGATCAAATTTGTTTTGTCCACTTCATTCTGTTTAAAATAGAACCAAGTTAAGAAAAATGCCTTTTCTGTTCTCTTCAAAATTGTGCACAGACCTCACGTAAATACAACCATTGACCATGATGTGAATCATTAATTCATTGTTTAATATATTCACATTGTGTCCGGCCATTTGAAGATGTTTAAAAGCATGGTTTCCATCATTAAAACTGCCACCTCCAAATAAAACTGTAATTGCTGAAGGATTTGCGTTGTTGGTGCTGACAGCTAATTGAAGTATGAGTCATTTTTTAAACTATAAACCTTGCTTGATGTTTTACAACTGCATCAAAGTGTCAAGTTTCTGTAAATATTATAATTTTAATGTTAATATATTTAAAAAATGAAATTCTATGATGTATCTTTGTTTATACAGCAGATGATTCATTTTTCTAAAAGATAATGAAATATTTCTTCCTCTATTTTTTTAAAAATGTCATACATTTGTATGAAGAGTTGTAAATTAAAAATCTGGGCTTGGGTAAAGATGTTTGATTTAAGAAATATGTGAGGCATTTTTCTGTGAAAGATGTTTGGTAAATGCATGATTAAAAATGCTGTTTTAACTATAAATATTTTGAGTAATCCAGAGCCTCAATATAAAGACTCACATTTTAAGCAATAATTTTAAAATGTTCAAAATTCTGTGCAATCAAATGTACTATAACAGTTTTTATAAATTTTTAAAATTATCTTTTTTATTAAGATATCTTAAAGTATTATAATGGTAATGAATACTAAAGTTAGAAAATAAATCTTCATTTTTAATTTCTAGTAATAAACAGAATTATAATATTTTGTGCATGCATTTAAGTTTTCATTTTATCTATTATATTTAAAAATATCTTGTGTTTTATATGACGAATTGCAAAATAAATTTTTTAATTTCAACGAGTCAATTTTAATTTGTTGAGTGTGTTTTTTAATTAAAAGAGTAAACAATTTTTTTATCTGAGTAATGTTTTATAGTATAAAATTTAAACATAATTTGAGGGTCTAATTATATATGTGTTATTTTTAGCTGAGTAAAAATATTTGTCTTTTTTATTAAAATACATAAACACAGTAATTTTGGAAAGAAATGTTTACTAAATAGGTTTGAATATCTATGCTAGGATAATAAAATAATGATTAATCATCAGTAACATAGGTATGCCTAAAAGACTTATATCCACTTGTTTGTTAGTATAACATTATTAAATTTTACTGAAAATCACTGAGCCACTCGTTGTCTTCTCTTATCACATTCAGTAAAATCCAAACAGGGCGTTAAGGCCCTTCATTCATATTATTTTAGTGTATTTCATATTTTCTCCTTGAAAAAAATTTAAGTTTACTAAACACAGTCAAAATAAAGTTCTTCCATTTTGATTGCATAATAACTTAGTAATATTAATAATCTTGTAAATTTTTATTTGATATTAAATCTCTATTATTGCTGTCTTTTGCAATGCGACCTAAAATGCCTTTATAAATTGTAAAAATTAAAATTTTTAAAGAGATCCTTTGAGTTTATTTGAGAATAAAATAACTTCATGTGAAGACTAAGTATATGTATGTATGTTAAATTGACATCATAATTTGTTAGCTTAGATTCAAGCAGTTTTATTTTTCTTCATTAAATTACAAAGTTTTCTTTGCATTCATTAAAATATCCATTGATCAACCACTTAATTGCTAATTCAAAGTATAATGAAATGTACACACTGAAATCTGCATATTTTTATTCTTTTTTTATTTTTATTTATAGATAAAAAAAATTTTCATAATAAAAAAACTCTTTGCAAGTGTGTTACTCTTCTTTCAGAAATTACTGTTGCTGTATTGTAAATTATCTGTCTTAATCTGTTAATTTTATGATTATCGGAAATCATAATTATCATAGGACTAACTTATACTATTAAGTAAAATACAAATTGCATTGAGAGTGGCCTTGAGGTAAGAAATGAAATATTGTATGATGCAGAAATATGAATTTCAAAATCTTACCCAATCATTGTGTAACATTTTTTAATCTTCAACTTTTGTAATATACTGAATATCTTATATTTATTGTGCTGTTTTATGCTATTAAAATCATATGTAAAAATGGTGTAATTAAACAAATACTGTTACTGACATTTGTTATATTGTAGTAAAACTCCTTACTTTATATATTTTTTCTTTTAATGAGAATTTTTTAAATTTATTAATTTCACTTTTAAAGGTTTTTGTTGCAATCCTTTTTCATTACAATAAAGTGTTTTATAAAAAAAGACAGCATTTTTAACATATACTTATGAACTCACAGCTCTTTATAATTTCTTTTGGTCAAACAATCTAAAAGTTGATTTATGGCCGTAATTTATTGTTTTTGGAAACATCAAATAATTTTTTTCTGGGTAATCATATATGTGTCATTTTAAAAGTTTTCAACTTAGTACCTGAAATGCTAACATTGTCCTTTGCATAGACAGTGCTTTAATTTAAGCTGCGAATGTGATTTTTTTTTCTTCTAATTTCTAGAGCAATGTGGTCCCGTCCGTTTGGCATCTAGGTAAAAATGGAATAAAATTGTGTAAAACAGGCTGTATGTGTATAGTTGCTGTGATAATATCACTCATTATCAATGTTTAGTTTGTGTTGTCAGTTGTATAGATTCCTTGAAATTTGCAATAATACTCTAGTATGCTGTTTTGCTATAGTCAATTTCATGATGTAAAACAATATTGGAGATTAAACTGCTTTCTCAGGTGCTTAAAATTTTTATCGAATGCTAAAAATTATGCTATAATATGTAAATATTCTGTATGCTTATTCAAATTTTTAAGATATCCTTTAAAAAAATTTAACAATTAAATTTATTAAAAACAAAGTTTAGAATCACATATGTTAAAATATTAAAAACGTTTCAGCGTTGCAATGGTATGTTTTCATCAGTAGGGGAAATGACTAAAATTGTAATAACAAGGATGATTTAATCAGACACAGGTTACGCTATCCTAGAGATAAATTAAAACCTTCCTTAATGACTGCTTCTAAGCAACGGCAACCACCGAAAAATAACCATATGTTTATGATATGTAATGTCTTACATTGCGAGAAGCTTTTGAGCAACGTGCACTTGTTAGTATGAATTTTGTATTAGTGCTTAGTCAACCTTTTCCAATTCTCCTTTGTAATTCTTATAATTGATTATTATTTAACCTATTTTCTTCCGTCTCACATTCAAGTCACTATTAATAGTTTTTAAGCATTCATAAAATATATTAGTCAACAAGAAATTTGAACATTCAGTTGCACTTACTACAGCTAAGCTGCATATTTCAAAAGTTGTCTGCAGGAATCTTTTTCTATTGAAATTTTTTAGCTTTCATACAGAAGGCATTCATAGTTTTGATAGGACAATTGCACCAACTACAGATATGGTACATCTTTCATGGTTGGTTTGCAGGAATTCTATTATATATTATGAGTGGTATTGATGTGCCTTCAGTTGGCTTTCAATTATGTTTGTAGAAAATACCAGCAGTAGGACAAAAAAAAAGCAATGTATGTACGCACCCGAATTGAGCGATTTCATTTTTTCTTAATGTTCTAGACACTGTAAGAGTTAGCGTCAGAACAAAATCTTTTGTAAGTGAATAACCAAGATATGAATGATAATCACAAACGTGCATTAAAAGACAAAGTCATTGAGGATGGTAGAATATGAATAAACACTTGAAAATTTGCTGCACTATATGGCTGTGTCAAAAATAAAATATAAGATTTTTTTTTTTGTACTGTTTGATTTTTACCCTGCCTTTTAATCTACTGATAAAGATGCACCATTGTTACACTAGAAAGCGTATATGGTTATTTATCAATTTTGCCATTTTAAACTTTGTTTTTAATATTTAATATCACAAAGAATTACTCCCATAATTTTATACTTATAACAAATTAATTTTGCTAGACTTATTGAATAAGATATATGTTTTATTGTTGTATCAATATATGAGCTATTTTTTTCCAATCATAAGTATGACTGTTTGCAAAATGAATTTTAATTTTTGTCTTTGATATTTCAACGCACACTTCTAGATGTATATGTATGTTGTTCATTTTAAGCATAATTATGACTTATGAAGTGATTAATTAATACTCCTGATGATATTGTTTTACATTTTAGTGAAAAAATTGTTGGCTGAAAATGGTTCATACTGTTTTGAGACATGCTAATTTTGTTGATTGACATAAAGTTTTTAAATGGTTTGATGATTTACCCACCGATTATTTCTTTAATATCATCTTCTAATCTAACTTTTATGTGTCTATTGAGCAAAAAAAAATGTTTTGTGGGCTTATAACAGTGAAAAACTTTGGAATGCTTTATGGACTAGAAAAATTGAAAGCGCTGAAAGTAAATGTAACTAAAAGAAAAAAAAATTTTTTTTTTTTTTTTTTAAGAACTNCATCTTCACACCATTTTTTTTTTTTTTAAATTCATAAAAATCAAAATGTTTATTTTAAAGTTCTCTTTTTAATTTAACTCATTCTAAAGAATCGAAAAGCTGTTAACTTGTTAGATGAAAACTAGCTTTAGCAATGTGTGCATAAATATTACTTTGTAAAGTTTCTTTTACTGGTGAACCATCTATAATAAATGTGAATCTAAATGTTATAAGCAAAAATCTAATAAGACAATCCAGGGTTCACATTTTTTGAGAAATTATTCTGCGAGGATGTATTTTAGTATTAAAAAATGCTCCCTGTACCTTCTAACTATTTTTATGCTGGCTTTAAGATGCATAATTACCTAAATGTGAAATAAAATAGGTAGTAAATCATGTGTATTTTAGACATCTAGGGGCTTAATTTAATAAGTGGAACGAGAAGTTAGTTCGAGAAAATTTCCATCCGCCACTAGGGAAAAAGGTTTAGATGAAATAAGTGTTTTACAATTTAATGTTTGCTAAATTTTGAAATACAGCTTGTACGTTTTCACTAGTTAAATGATTCTTAATGCATAATGGTTTAGAAATTATGTTTAATATGTATAAATTTTACAGTAGGTAAATTTTTCAGAATTTTGTTTTTAATATTTCTTTTGAGTTAAAAATGATAGATAATAAGTGTTGGGTATCATACTTATATGGTTTTCTTTAGTATAGCAAATTATATTATGATTTCATCCTCATTAACTGAGGTATATAATGTTTTGTTTCTTTTTACCTTTTGAAATTAGTAAATTAAAAACGAACACATTAAGTTGATCTAGATATTTGTTTCCGTGTCTTAGTTTTAGCTCTTTAAAAATTCATTTTGTCCGAGAATATTTTCACATGTTTTGAAAAAGGCAATTAAGAGTGTTCAACTAGCCATTATATGGAGGTTTTTCCGAATTGTCTCAAAAATAGTTAGTGGTGTCTAAACATGAAACAGGGAAAATGCCACAATTAAAGGAATAGCTCGTAACTAAATAAGAACATAGAATCCTCAAAGAATAATAAATGTTAGAATCAGTTTTAAAAAAAAAATAATAATAAAAATGAATCCAGTCGAGTATAATTTAGAGGATTAGTTTCAGATGTAAAAATAGAATGTGTTGAAAATGACGGGAAAATAAAGTATCCTCTTAATGTTATCTATTCTAGATGGCAAATTTCACTGTATGTTAGTCCCTTTGTCAACGAATGAGTAGTGATGAATAAAACTATTAGTAAATATTAGTTTGTTGTTGTATAGTAATATTTAAATCTGTTAAAGATGTTGGTGATTAGCAAATCTTAAATGAATATATATTCATATATATATATATATTTGAAAATATTTATAGATGGCATGTTACGACTACTGTTGTTGAGTATTAAACATCAGCAATAGCCCAGGTTTTACAAAGAAGGTATTTGCATTTGTACTGGTAGGAAAGAAATTGCTTTGCTGCTTCCATATTTATTGTAAGCCAAAAAGGATATTTATTAGTTTTTTAATAAAAATAATTTAAAATAATATCAAATTTTCGCACCTTTTTTTTTATTGTAAAGTTGTTGGACTATAACGTACCACTGGTATTTGTATTAATTTCAATATAAACACTTCCATTTTATGAAGAGATACTAAGCTGTTCCCCCAAAAGTTAAAAAAGAACAAAAAATAATTGGTAATAACTTTTTTATACATAAGGTTTCAGTTTTATCTGAAGTTTGTAACATTTAAAAATAATTTATCGGAGCTTAGTAATAGAATAACAAATGTTTTGTAATTTTTCTAAAATTTAGATTTGTGTTTGCAAGAATGTAATCATAATTTTTTTTTTTTTAAAGTAGTCTTTTACTTTGAGTTTCTCAGAATAGGGGGAGGAAAAAGCATACTACAGAAAAGTGCTCTTATTAGAATATCTAATTGATTAGTATATCTCTTCTTTATTCATGAAAATGTAATTTCTTTATGTTTAATTTTTACAAATCAACATTGTAAATTTTGTCTCACATGCATATTTTCCCTTGCAATGAATGATGTAAGCAAGGAAAAGCTATAATTAAAAAAATGTTTTTAGGAATTCGATATAAAACTTTATTCTATTTATTTTTTAATATTGAGATTAAATGCTGATAATTAATTTCATATTAACTTCTTTTAGCAGAATAAATAAATAAAATAACATATAGTTTTTATAATTATCACCACAGCACAATTCATGGTAACATGCATCAAAGTAAACAAAACTTCTCCTAATTATGATCTTTTCCTTTTCTTTTTTTTTTTTAAATTTACAAGCTTAAAATAAAAAATCATATCAAATCTGTATTAGTTAAAATATTAATGTTATTATTACCCGATGGGCTTAAGTAGCTATGTATTAAATTGAAATTTAATATTTTCCTATTTACTAATTGATTTTTCTTATTAGCTTTAATGTACTTTATGTTCTTTGATAAATCTTTTTTAAAAAGACTCACTTTATTTTAATTTCATTACTTCATGTTCTTTGATAAATCTTTAAAAAGTCTCACTTCATTTTAATTTTATTACTTCATGTCCTTTGATAAATCTTTAAAAAGTCTCACTTCATTTTAATTTTATTACTTCATGTTCTTTGATAAATCTTTAAAAAGTCTCATTTTATTTTAATTTTATTACTACAAACACAAATCTAAACTTGAATAAGACACAAAAAACCTGGAGAGTACAAACATGCCATAAAGAAGGTTATTTTCGAAACAAATCCAAATTCAGATTGTTTTTATTCTATATAAATGAACTTTATTGTAAAATATTTTACTTTATGTCCAATTAAAGCTCTGTGATGTTCTTTGTAGGTAATGCATAAATTACCAAAACAATATTTAACTTTTTATAAAAAAAAAAAATCGAGATGTTTTAGCATTATGTATATTTATTATAAAAGTACTTTCAACCTTTTATAATACAGCAAACTTTAAAAAAAGAATTGTCTCGCCTACCCTTCAAGAGTATCTTGAATTGCATTAAAAGAAGTGTTAAAATGTTATGTGGTTAACTTTTTCCTCAGGGTATACAACAAGGAGAGGATGAAGAGTACAGACTTTAGCATCAACCACATTGTCTAGCTGAGTTAAAAATTATGTTCCATTCTATTTACTAAATAACAGTATTACATTGATGTTTACATCTACTTAACTTTAAAAAAAATCAGTGTAATAAAGATTATTAGTGCTTAGCAATCAACTAAAATGCATTTGAAGGGTTTTTCAAATTTCAGTCGATAAAGGAAAAGAAAGGACTAGATTCAATTAATATTTATCGATAGTGTTTTAACAGACCTGGTCTGGACATAAAATTTAGTTTAAAGGCAACATGGCATTTCTTTACCTCATAACCAGTCTGCAAACATCACGCATAAAACAGAGGAGAAAAGTGTGGAGAGTAGGAAAATTGTCTTATCTTGGGGTGCTTATTATATTTACAAAGAGATTTGGGAAAAGGATAGACGGTGCTCAAAAGAGTTCCTTCTTTGGAAGAGGGAACAATTATAGATGTTCATTTTCTAAAAAAAGGTACAGCGGTGAATCAATTAAACTTTACTAATGATTCTCTCACTAAAACTCCTATTCTTGATAAATACTATACTATTTGATATTTCCAATAAACATATTAAAGATTTAAAAAAATCACTGGTAAAATAATGCTTGAATACTATAGAAGGTTGAAATTTACTTTTATTCTTTTAATGAAAACCATAATTTAATTCACTATTGTAAAATTTCTTACAGTTTAAAAGCTTCTCAAAAATATATTGTTAAAAATGAAATTTTACAGCAGTGTAAATTTATTTTTTTCTTCTAAAAACATGTTATTTTATGTGATGTAGCAGTTTTTTTTTTTCCACTGTAGAGTTGCATTTCGATGAGTGAGTGATTTTAGTTTATGTAGCAACTTTTTTTTTTCTTCTGTATCTAGAAATATGCTTTTTTTTTTCTTGCAAGTACAATATTAGTATTGATTCTGTTATGTTTCCATTTATTTAGAGCTGTATGATAATTTGCTGCAATTTTCTACATCAACAACAAAAATGTGGCAATATTGTTTGCTGTAGCTGGTAGAGGTTGCTAGCATTGTAAATAGTTTAGCATTTTCATTCCTATGTTAGGGAAAATGTAATATGTGCCACTGAGCAATACTCATTGCCAGCCAATAAAATGTTCAGTGGATTTGAATTCTGATGCCTTTCTCTCAAACATTATTTTTACACTATTAACAATATAATACATCAGGGTTCCCATGATCAGGGCTGATTGTACTCCGGAAAAAATCCGGATTTTTCGCTAACCGTGATCCGGAAGTTTCCGGAGATCAAAGGTTCAGACGTTTCAAAAAATCATTGATCACTAAAGTTTCCAGAAATCAAATTTTCAAGGGTGGAACTTAAAAACACAGTTTATTTTATTTGTTTGTAAGGGAGAACCTGATACTTTATAAGCTTATATTCAAGATTATTATTCATTTTTTATCAGTAAATAGTTATTTTAATCATAAACTCAAGAAAGAAAGATATATTTGAAAATTTAAATTACTTCTCCAGGTCATCATAGGTATGTGTAAAATTTTAAATATATTTTAAGTAAACTAAGAAATATTGAAAAAAAGAAAAAAAAACCTTGTTTGAATTTTTTTCGATTTAAACTTTATTTTTTTTAATCAAGAAATTTTCCGGAATTTTGACTTGAGCTCACAATCACCCCTGCATGATGCTTAAAAGTCTTTAAAAACTGTTTAAGTACTTAATTTTAGACCAAGTCCTTAATTTTCAGCAGCATTAGTTAATTTTAACAGTTTTTTAGTCTTACAAAAATATTCAACACAAGTGGGAATTGGATGAGTACTGTCTTTTGAGAGACGAAAAAAAAAAAAAAAGATTATTGGGGGGGGGGAGAAAGCAATTAAAAATAAGGAAGAACCTCTAAAAA